GATTATTAACTGCTTTTACACAAGGATCTGCTTCAGTTCCCAACACTTATGCCTGGTGTTCCATAGCCACTTGTTATTCTATCTCCAGGAGTTCAAAAACCTTCTTTTGGCCTCTGCGAACATATGCACACACATACACAAGCACATACATATGCACTCACATGTACACAAGCACATACAAATGCACAAATGCACATCCCCAATTTTAAAAAATGAAATTTAGAATTTAAAAGAAATATATTTTTAAAATTAGCTCATGTGTCTGCCGATATATGCAATATATAGTTTAATATGAAATATGTCTTATTAATAAATTTAATCCTTTTTCTTTTAAAATATGAATGTTAAGAATCCTTATGCACATCTAAATGTATATTGAAATAAAACCAAAAGTATGTATTTTTAAAAATATTTATGACTATGCCTCCAGAACCACTTATTTTCTATATACTTGGGAAGCAGGGCAACAGTATCATCTCTCCATTTAACTATCAGATATGTATAATGTTTTCTCTCTAATACTTTCACACAGTTGAACCTTTTATAATATTCTCAGAAATGGAAATAATTAGATTGTGAGATTTTAACACTATTGTGTGTTCTCTTCTGTTATTTAATATTGCTTCCTTTAATAATATTTAACCTTACTTTTAGATTATTATTATTACTTGATGGTCATTTATTACAAATATCACCCATGTTAGCTAATGTACAAAAACTATTTTTTGTTGAAAGGTATTAATTGCTCAAGTCTATTTTATGTTTTGCAAAAACACACATATATAATTTAACTTTGTTTTTAATTCTAAATTTTTTTAATTTAAAATTTGAGAGAGGCCGGGCGTTGGTGGCGCATGCCTTTAATCCCAGCACTTGGGAGGCAGAGGCAGGTGGATCTCTGTAAGTTCGAGACCAGCCTGGACTACCAAGCGAGTTCCAGGATAGCCTCCAAAACCACAGAGAAACCCTGTCTCGAAAAAAAAAAACAAAAAATAAAATAAAATAAAATAAAAACTAAAATTTGAGAGAAATGACAAGGCAATAGATTTTGTAATTCATATAGAAGAATTGTCACTAATACACAAATATTAAAGTCATATGCATCAACTATGATAATTTTCTTTGGCATTAAGTTACAAAAATGAAACAAAGCAAACCAATATTCTATTGTTTCCTATTTTATTTATTCTAGTTTCATGAGGTGTAGGCAAACATTTTCAGTTATTTTCTGAGGATCAATGTATGATGTTGAAAGTTAGCAACTGGGCATAGTGATGCACATCTTACTCTCAACAATAAGGCGACAGAGGCAGGGAGGTCTCTGTGAGTTTCAAGACAGTCAGGGCAAGAGAGTAAGACTCTTCTCAATACATACATACATACATACATACATACATACAAACGTCACAGGAGTTCCTGATATATATATATATATATATATATATATATATATATATATATGGGATATCAAACCTTGATATTTTACTTTGGGGAATAATTAAATAGTAATACAAGTAGTTAAAATATTTTGTTAATTAACAGATTTGAACATAGTTTATTTGTCTAGCAGACAACATATAATTTTGTTTGTTCAAGGAGAATAAACTCATAAATAATAAGATTGGGATATATAATTATATATTCATATGTACACATAATGTTGTTCCCAAAATAATGCATAATTTTTTGTCATTATTCCAAAGACAACAAGAACAATGTTGTACTATATGAATTAAGAGGAGGTTTTCCTCATAATTAAACCAAACAATTCTTAATAAAGTTTGATAAGGTAGGTTTTATTTCATTTAGAACAATGTAGAACTAATCCATAGGAACTAAAGAAATGTGGCATTCATAGATTCACCTCACACATGTATTTTGTTTGTTTTTCTCCCCTTTCCCTTTCAATACATGCTTTAAAGTTTGCTTGTCCTTAAAAACTTCCCATTTACCTGATACATGATTACTGTCAATAAATGTCCCTGCTTTGGCTATTTTAAAGTTGATGTATTACAAGATCTTCTAAGAATGAATATTGAAAGTAACTGAAAAATAAAATTTTGAAATTCTAATTTTGAATTCATTTTTAAGCATCAGTGTTTTCAGCTAAGTAAGAGAAAAAAACTTCTAAAGGAGACGTGATTGCTCCTGTCACATGACTCTACTAGATCACTGACACCAGAACACCAAATTTTCTATGAACCAAACTTCTCATGTACCCAATAGACACATTACACAGAGCCAGAGGCTCTCAATTTTAATGTTTATTGGTTGACATTCGTGAAAATTGGAAATATATTTATCTTGCAAAATTGACCTACTGATATTCAAAATATTGGTATGTTTTGAGGGAGAAAAGTCTTAATAAAGAATTTGCATGGCACTTATTTCCTTTATAGTTCTCTACAAATGCATGCTCCTTAGAAAGCAAGGTGTTGTGAACACATCCACAGCTCCCACTCTGTGTGAGAGGACTTCTCAACAAGAAAATACTAGACAAACAAGGGGCAGAAAATGTACCTTTATATAATGTATTACTTTTATAGGCAATTCTTTTAGAGAGCTACATAATACAAATAAATTTCTCATGAATTAGTAACTTGGATGTTCATTATGGAGTGTTTTATAAGAGACCAAATTTTTTAAAAATTGGAAACTTGAAAAAGAATATGCATCAATTACAAAAAGACACTAGGTACTACATGAAATGCCCTAAGGTATATTTATATATAGCAACACAAGTCGCAAAATAGCATCCAAAAATTTCATCCATTTTAATAGCCTGTTTAATAATCAGTCTTTGCAACCTTGAGATTAGCTGACTGAACCATTATTCCCATCAAATTAAAATTGCAAGATTCACCCATAATAGCAAGGTGATAGAATTCTTTTTATTTTGGTAAGAACAGAAATATAAAGGTAAGTAGAAATACAATTTTAAGTGATTATAATATATTCCTTAGGAAGACACTGAGAATTCAAATAAAATACACCGTGGTCTGGGTTAAATAAAGTAATGGCTAAACAGTGAATATATATGTATTTGGAAAGTAGGTTAATGGAATAATTTAGATGGGTAGAAATCAATTGGTTCTCATCAGGAGATTATCATTCTAGGCTACTGAAAAAAGACTTCTGAATTTAAAGTCAAATATCTTTCTACTTTTGAATACAGAATGATTCAAAATGTTAGTAGATATGGTATATAAATTTCTTAGATTGTCCTGATTAATGCCTTTCCTTACATTTGGAGAAGTATCCTAAACAATTACTGGGTAGAATTTTGTTGTTGATTTGAGGAATCAAGGCAGTGATGGGAGAAAAATACTTAACAATTCTGTGGATCTATGCTATATGCTGCTAATTTCACAAAAGTTAATTTTTAAATTAATCACAATGTGAGAGTCAAATCAGAAAGAAAACACATTTGACTAAAAGGTAAATACTATTAAATATAGGTAGAATATTATTTTATGATAAGTTTGGTAATCCAATTTATAAGTAAGAATAACTTTTCCACTTGATTTTCTCTCTCCATGGACAATTAAAATAGACAAGTTCATCACTTATCATTTTCTTACAAGCAGCAGCTCATTAGCTTGAAGTTTGTCTATGTTCTGGTCAATACCTATTGAATATAAGTCTTGAAAAGACCCTGTCCATGTCCTCACAAAGTTTACATATTAATCTAGAATTTCAGAGCTTGAACTTGGTAGCTGAATTCTGACTTGAATTTTTTGGTTCTCTTCCTGCCTTTTTGAGGTAAGGATAATTGCCTTTCTCCTCATCGCACTTCAAAACAACATTTGTTTCGGGATGGTCTTGCCACACTGGAACCTCACTAGCTCAGTTCGTTTTGTTCTGGTGGAAATCAAATGTTGTAATTCCATAAACCAGTAAGGTATTGACCACCTACTCAGCCAGCTCACTCACACCTAAGTCTGGACTGGATGTGGCTATTACATTCAATCCCAAACATCCCATAGTGGCCTTTGAAGACTAACTTATACTGAGTAGATAACTCAGGGGTATTCTAATGGGTGTATGTATCTACAACTTAACAATCACAGTGGAATAAAGCAGTGGCTAGTTTTCACTCACACCAAGTGTACTCGGGTTGGTAGCATTGGTTTTCATCACTATTTCCAAGGATGTTTCCTATGCTTGGTTGGAAAAGTCTTTGCTCCTTGGAGGTACATGTTCCAAAGATGTATCACTTTTCCCTGATGCATGCTGCTCCCAACTAAGATCAGTCACCAAATCCCTAGCTTTGCCTACAAGAAAATGCTATACATCATTTCCACACACCCCAGGCAACTTCTTCCTTTGGGAATGTCCAATATATACATGTACTGGTATGACTTTGCCCACCATCTGCTCCACACTATGAAGGCTGTTATGTATCACTGTCATTGTCTGAGATACAAAATATACTGACAGTAAAATAAGAAAAGCCAAGAGCATACATTTTTAAAATCGGTCAATCTGGGCCGGGTGGTGGTGGCGCATGCCTTTAATCCCAGCACTCAGGAGGCAGAGGCAGGCGGAACTCTGTGAGTTCGAGGCCGGGCTGTACCGACAGCCTCCAAAACAATACAGAGAAACCCTGTCTCGTAAACCCCCCCCAAAAAAATCGGTCAATCTGACCATGATAAAGCTAAATATGGGCATCATCAATATCAGGACCATTTTTGCAGTTACAGAATTCTCTGTCATTGAAGAAATCCCAACCTATATTGGTCATTTACAGACACAGGTATACAAATACACTAACAAAGTCCTTGAATAAAAAAGCACCTGAAAAATATTTGGATGAGCTCACGGGGAGTTCAGCAGTCTTTTGTAATTATGAGCTTTACACACTCTTGTTGTTAAACAAGCCCATATATAAGACACATGTTAAGTAACAATGCAAGTGAAAAGCATCTAAGTCATGCTCAAAATCAATATTATGTATATTTACAACACAAAGAAAATGCTGGAAAATGAACAAGACCAACCTTTCCTTTTTAAGGGAGGTTCTTCTATTTCTCCTAAACCAAGAAAAAAATGGAAAATTAGTATACGTGATAGCATGGAATGTCTATTTACTTACATTTTGCTATTTATTCATTTTTGCAAGTGATTGCTTTCAATAGTCATGATTCTTGCGTATTTTGTTACCTAAATTCCAAGTACATGATACATACATACATATATATATATATACACACATATATATATATATATATATATATATGCCCACACACGTAAAATGGCTTCATTTTATGAGTTGGATAGAATTGTGGCATTGTTCCAAGTTACTGCGTTGTAGCTCATGCATCATATTAATTTGAATTTTCTCTGTTTATTGTTACTTCTCACAAGGCCAAACCAGAAATAAACTCAGACAAAGTCATAAAAGAAGCTCTAATAGTCAGAACTTTCCTGTTAGATAAGACTGAATGGATAATCTTGGATAAGTAAGAGTAACCATTTTTTAAATGTCATTTAATGGACTACATGACTATACTTTCTTCATTGTAAACTCTCTAAATGCCAACTTATACACAGCCTGTTCTTGCATTTACTTTTTCTCATTATATGTGAGCTACTTACTTGTATAATATTTAAAATGTATCCGTCCATTCTACATTTCCATTTGATTCAAACACTTTAAGTTTAATTGGGCTTCTATTAAGATTGGTTATGGCCATTTGACTGTTACTATGACTTACATGTACAAAATACGTGATGGTTGGTCTTAATATTTTTGATTCAATACTCCTAGACATGAACTTGAAAAATAGCCACTCTGTCTCAAATAAATATGTAAGTGCATAATCTATTGTGGTTTTATAGTCATTTATATTAAGAATCTCTCCTATTATGCACTCTAATAGCAGCATTTAATTTTGATATCTTTTCTACAATGGCAGACAAACTATTAAAGTCAAAAGGAGAGGGATTTACTCTATTTGGAAGCTTATTGGAGTGTTTTTGTACTCACATGTGTATCCATTTTAGCTCAGTCTACCCAAGTGCTCATTTGGGCTAAACCCGCAGCTAGAAAATGTCAAATGTTAGCGATTCCCAATCACAGCAGTTTGATGCAACTCTGAACCCTGGGTACCTTTATCAGTGTCTTCATCTGCATCTTCATCTTCTTCATCACCTTCAGATGAGATAATGTCAGACAGCAAAGAAAAGAAGCCATAGATCCAGTCAGTTGTTTCCTCCACAGCATCATTTACAAATTTTAGAGGATCTGAGCCAATCTTGGCAATGGAGCTTGCTAAAAGACATGAAAACAAAGGAGTACTTAGGTCATTGCCAGATAACTTAAGAAATTTGTTTTCCAGAAATGTATCTAGTCTACTTTTTTGTGCAGAAATGGAAAACACATTCTGCTGTACTATGTTAATAAAATAGTATATAAACACATTATATACATACATATATGTATATGTATACACACACACATACATACATATATATATATATATGAGAAGTAATTTAAAACATCTGGTACTAAGCATTACAGAATTACCAAAAACAAAATTACCTTAGTAAACACTATAAAATAAATGAATGAGTCCGGCAGCAAAAATTTGGGAAAAAATAATACATATTTTCTTTTTTAAGATTTATTTATTATGTATACATTGCTCTGCCTGCATATATGCCTGCACACCAGACGTACACATCACTACCGATGGTTTTGAGCCACCAGTGATTGCTGGGATTGAATTCAGGACCTCTGGAAGATCAGACATTGCTCCTAATTGCAAAGCCATCTTTTCAGACCCAAACTATATATATTTTCATTAAAAAAAATTAAAGTCGGCCAAGTGGTGGTGGCACACGCCTTTAATCCCAGCACTCTGGAGGCAGAGGCAAGTGGAGCTCTGATTTCGAGACCAGCCTGGTCTACAAGAGCTAGTTCCAGGACAGCCTCCAAAGCTACAGAGAAACCCTGTCTCAACCCCCCCCCCCAAATTAAAGTAACTGAGCTATATTTGTTCAAGAAGTTTGAAATAGTCTTTAACCCACAGAATCCTTCAAAGTACCATGGAGAAGATGGTCATGTAAATCTTCAAAGAAGGGCTACAAATTTGACTAGGGTGAACTAACATTGATTGTACCTCTCTATCTCTCTCTCTCCCTCCCTCTCTCTTCTCTTTCTCTCTCTCTCTCTCTCTCTCTCTCTCTCTCTCTCTCTCTCTCTCCATATATATACATATATGTATATATATATATATTGTGTGTATGTGTGTGTATACATATAATTTTCAAAATGCTATTATTTGTAAAGCAATGAGAAAAATCTTGGAGTTATCAGGTGGTTATTTTGTCAAATCGAACAAAGTTCACTATGTTTAGGCATTTTGAAATTCTAATATCTTAAAATGTTTAAATGTAAACTCTTTAAACTTAAACTCCTGGTAACTTCAATAATAGAATTAGGCAAAAGAAGGCCTACAGATCATATGATTATTGTGTCTTGGACAATTTTTTAAACATCAAAAAATGAGAGCTTAAAATAAACAACATTTTGAGATTTATAAAATGTTGTTCTTATTATATGAAAATTTCTCTGAAGACAGAAAGCAGTTTCTAGTATCTGCTGGAGGGAATGGGTAGAAATACAGCATAAATTGCACCTGGGCTTTCATTAATATGTAATTAAGTCTTAGAGACATTTTTTTCTGAATTGTAAAAACTAGTTTTGCTTTCCAAACTATCTTGTCCCTTTTTTATATTTAAGAGATCAGAATTAAATCAATGTGTTGTATAATCTAACGGTTAAGTGTTCCAAAATCATGCTTTCACCCTGATTAAGATAGGAAGTTATGCCCAGCCCACTGACTAGCTAAACATGGGCCTGTTTCCTGCCACCTTCCAGTGGCCGGCTGAAAGCTTCCTGAGGTCTACGGACCATGCACTAGGGAATCCATCACAGTAATCCAGCCCACCCAGAGACTGCTAAGGTCCCAGTACTAGTCACACCTCTACCCATGGGAATAGGAGAGACTTTGGAGTATTGGACCTGCTTGCACCCACTAGAAGAGAACCTTGAATGAATACACACCAGGAGAGGAAGAGACTTCTCCTGCACTCACTGGAAGAAGACAATATAAAAACATACTCAACAAAAGAAAAACCACCGGAGTCTAGGGACTGTACACCAGCAAGACCTGAATATCCCAGCACAGATAGAGCATAAGAGAATGACCTTCAAAGCAACTTCATGAAAATGTTAGAGGCCCTCAAAGGAGATATGAGAAAAATCCCTTAAAGAAATGGAAGAAAAAACAAACCAAAAATATAAGAAATCAACAAACCTCTTAAAGAAAATCTGAATTCAAACCCTATTATAGAGTCATAGTACTGAAAACAGCTTGGTATTGGCACAAAAATAGACAGGTAGACCAATGGAATTAAATTGAAAACCCTGATATTAACCCATACACCTACAAACACATGATTTTTGACAAAGAAGCTAAAGTTATACAATGGAAAAAAGAAAGCATCTTCAACAAATGGTGCTGGCACAACTGGAGGCTGACATGTAGAAGACTGCAGATAGATATGGATCTATCACCATGCATAAAACTTAAATCCAAATGAATCAAAGACCTCAACATAAATCCAGCCACATTGAACCTCCTAGAAGAGAAAGTGGGACGTATTCTTGAATGAATGGTACAGGAGAACGCTTTCTGAACATAACACCAGGAGCACAGACACTGAGATCGACAATTAGTAAATGGAATCTCCTGAAACTGAGAAGATTCTGTAAGGCAAAGGACACAGTCAGCAAAATAAAACGGCAGGCCACAGAATGGCAAAAGATATTCACTAACCCCACATCTAACAGAAGGCTGATTTCCAAAATATACAAAGAACTCAAGAAGCTAGCCTCCAAAACACCAAATAGTCCAATTTAAATAGTAGGGTGCAGAACTAAGTAGAGAATTTTCAATAGAGGAATCTAAAATGGCTGAAAGACACATAAGAAAGTGCTCAACATCCTTAGCCATCAGGGAAATGCAAATCAAAACAACTCTGAGATACTATGTTGCTCCTGGCAGAATGGCTAAAATCAAAAACACCAATCACAATCTATGTTGGAGAGGATATGGAGAAAGGGGAAAGGTCCTCCTATGCTGGTGGAAATGCAAACTCATATAGCCACTTTGAAAATCAGTATGGCAGTTCCTCAGGAAAAAGGGAATGAGTCTACCTCAAGATCCAGCATTTCCCCTCTTAGGAATATACCCAAAAGATGCACATTCCTACTATAAGGTCATCTGGCTATTTGTAATAGCCAGAACCTGTACTCACTCATGTATGGATTTTAGACATGAAACAGGGGAGTGCCAGCCTACAATCTCACCGCCAGAGAGTCTGGGAAACATGGAGGACATGCATGGTACCCCAGAGAAGGGAAATGGGACAGAATCTCCAGAGAGAAATGGAAGCATGGGTGGAGGTGAGAGGGTGCTGGGAGGAACAGAGGGGTCAAACAGGAAGGAAGAGGAGGACATGGGGGAGCAGGAAGTTTGAGTCATGGGAAGAATAGAGGAGACCAGGGTGTGAGATACCACAACAGAAGGAGCCACTATAGGTTTGAGGAGAGGTATGGCACTAGTGAGATTTCCAGAGATCTACAAGGATGACACTAACTGGCAATCAAAGCAATAGTGGAGAGACTACCTTAAATGCCCCTCCCTGATAATAAGATTGATGACTAACTTGTATGCCATCTTAGAGCCTCCATCCAGTGTCTGATGGAAGCAGATGCAGACACCCACAGCTAAACACTGAACTGGACTCCTGGAAACCAGTTGCAGAAAGGGAGGAGCCATGAGCAAAGGGGTCAAGCCCAAGGTGGTGAAACCCACAGAAACAGCTTACCTGAATAAGGATAAGCTCATGGACCCCAGACTGATATCTGAGAGGCCAGCATGGGACTGATCCAGACCCCTTGAAGGTGTCAGTGAGGAGGTCTTGGCATTCTTTGAGGCCTCTGGCAATAAATCAGCATTTATCCCTGGCATTCAAATGGACTTTGGGAGCCCATACCACATGGAGGGATGCTCTCTCAGCCTGGACACATGGTGGAGGGCCTAGTCCCTGACCAGGGACAATATGACAAACTTTGGAGATCCCCATGAAGGGCCTCACCCTTGCTGGAAAGCAGAGTTCAGACTGGGTGGGGGATTGGATGAGTTGTGGGGGTGGGGTAGGAAAGGAGTGAGAGGGAACTGGGATTGACATGTGAAGCAAGCTTGTTTCTAATTTAAATTTTAAAAAAGGAAAAAAAGAAAATGAAGAGGGAGAGGGAGAGGGGCATTACAATTCCTTCCCTGTTAAGTTTGGGGGAAAAGGATAAACTATAAATGCAAACACACTGATAACCACTATGATAGGCAAGCATGGGGGATATTGTTGTGTCTTTCTCTTCTTAATTAAACCACAGTTCATGTGTCTACAAAAAAAAGAAAGGAAAAAAGAAAGCAAGAAAACAAGCAAGCAAGAAAGAAAGAAGATGGGAAGTCACTGGAAGGCTTGAGTAGGGTTTCTGTGAGGGCTAAAATGATCTCAGGCAACAGGGAAGAGCCAAATAAAATAGTTTAGAAGGTGAGTGATCATGGTGCATCCCAGACTGGGAGGCATGCATGTACCATGCCACCAGGTTCCTGATGTTCTTCAAATGTAAAGCACATGTGTGAATGCTTTTTCTTCTGCCCCTGTTTGTCTGGAAGCAAGAACTCTAGGCTATAAAAAGACAAATCAATTGAAATAATGGAGACAGAATGAAAAGGTGCATTCTAAATATTACAACAAGTATGCATCTTGCTTATGTAATTTTACAGTTTTTGTGAGTGACACTGGAGGTGTAGCACTGGCATCTACTTGGGATGGGGAGGCTTGGAGAGAAATACTGTTGGCTTCTCATTGTCTGGTCTGGATTGAAGGAAGAATGAAGTAGAGTAGTGCCTGAGATCTTTTGACACACCTGCAGTTGTGGTATAGCTACCTCAATCTGATCTATAGAAGACATTTCCAGTTGAATTAGAAACTTGGAAGCGCCCAGAAGATGGAAGGTATCAAAGTCATGACCTTCAGTGAGATCAGTGAGAGGAGAGACTCAAGAAGATTGCAGCATCTAGAAGGCTAGTGGCTACTTATGAAATGGTGAATGGTGGGGAGCAGCTGGATCTAATACAGGGCAAGAGGAAGGACCAGGAGAATATGAAGTGCTAAAAATCAAGTAAAGAAATCACT